GGGATGTATAAATACTAAAAATAATGTTTATTTACATTTTATTTGTTCTCCTTTGAGAATTGAGACTATGTGGGTTGGGGGTTTCAATAATTCTAGAAAGTTTTTTTTAGCCATTTTGGCCTTAATTCTGTTCATTATTCATTTTGTTCTCTCTAGAACTTCCATGCTGGACTTCTAAACCATACATACATATAAATGACAGAGAAGCACACTGAATAATTTTAAATTATCAAAGTAATTTATAAACTTAATACTTTGAGTTAGTTAAGTATAAACTTATATATTGTATAGTAAATTTATCAAGTAATTTTCACCTCATCCTAATCCACATTCTGAATCTTCACGATTTAAGTTCTTTCTTGTCCAAGTACTGGAATAAAACACAACTACTAATATAGTTTTGTTAAAATGTTTAAGCACACTATAAATTTAAATGATCACCAAACTCCCTTAGGACAGAGTTGTTTTTAGTAGTTTGCTTCTCTTTGGTATTTATGCACGTAACCATGTGCGGTGGGTGTCAAAAGTCAAGCACTGACTGGCTGTCATCTTCAGCTGCTCTCTACCTTCTTCCTTGAAAATAAATTACATTGATGTATTCAGTTTGAGTGTATGTGCATGTGTATACATGTGCATGGTTGTGTATGTCATGATGCCCACGTGTCAACCAGAAGAAAATCTGCATGAGTTGGTTCTCTCTTTCCACCACGTGAGTCTCAGGGATCTCACTCAAGTTGTCAGGCTTGGCAGCAAGTGCCTTTACTTGCTGAGCTATGTCACAGGCACTGAACCCTGAGCTCATCAGTTCAGCCAGGCTGAGCATTCAGTGAGCTCTAAAGATCCTCCTGGCTGCCTCACGTCAGCACTGGAGTTTCAGATGTACCCCTCTGGCTTTTGCATGGGTGCGAAGGATTTCAACTCAGGTCCTCATGCTTGTGTGGCAGACACTTTACTGAATGAACTATCTCCCCAATTTATTACAGCATCTGAGTTTACAGGGGACTGCTTACCAACAATGAGTCTCTGAAGGGCACCCTTATCTCCATTAACTGCAGCGGCATGAACCTTTGATGCTAATGAGGATCCAGCAGAGAGCACGTTCTCTGAAATGCTCATAGTTTTCTCCACAACATGAGAGACCTGAAATTGTGATTGAGACAATGAGTACAAGTTGTCCTGGAACTAGCTCTGTGGACCAGGCTGGCCTCAAACTCAGAGATCCACCTGCCTCTGCCTCCCCGAGTACTGGGATTAAAGACATGAGCTACCACCACGCAGCCAGAAAACACTTCTAAAACCTGCCTTATCGGTGCTAAGTAGGTAGCTTGTAATGATTTATTATAGATATTTAAATAGGATTTAACTATTGAATTCCTACTTCTATAACTGCTATGACATGGCAAATTAGATGACCTTTGTATTACTTGCTTAACTGTAGACTGAGAGAATTTTCTCAAGAAATAAGAAGACATTTATATTAGACACAGAGTTTAAAAGTCATACTGACTTCTAAGATTAACACAGGTAATGTGATTCCACACAATTCTTGTTGAGATCAGACTGTGCCCTGCTTTAAGTCACTCCAGATTGGATAAAATAGTGGTTTTTCAGCCTGTGCCTTGCCCTGACAGTCTCCACTTTATTAAAAGCTTTTGAATTCTGTTTTGAGGGTAGAGGATGACTGTGCTCCTGGGTGGAAGTGAACACTAGCTTTTACCCAGCACCACCCATGCAGCACAGACTGGTAAATGACTGTGCAGGGTCATGAGGGATCAGAGTGAGTGCCATCCTATCAACTTTTCAAGGTGCAAAGTATGCAAACTTGGTTGAGGAACAATTCGAATACCGTGATATTTCTTAACTGAGAATTTGCATTAGGCATTGTCCCTTTGGGAACTCTCAGACAAGACCCACATAGAGGGCAACAAGAGAAACAAAAGGTAACTGAGAAACAGAAGGTGGATTAAGGCTAGGTGCAAACACTCTGGAGGCAAACCAGGTGTAGCTCTGTAGGAATTCTCCCACAGTATTGAGACCATGGGAGCACGTGAGACTATTAAAATAACACCAAGGAAACCAGCCCCAGTTGGACATGCCAGACCAAGGCTGGGTTGTAACTTCCTCATCTGGACCGTATAAAGTGGAAGACCTAGCAACGCAATGGCAATGGCCCCACCAACCTAGCTTCTGAGACCCAGTGTGTGCATCAAGGACTGACAGGCAGTTTTCAACTCTCCCTGAGGCTTCAGCTCAGCTGGGTCCCTGGCTGTTGAAGTAGACCACTTGACTGCAATCTGCCCATCCACCTGCTTGCTTGTCTGCATCTGAACCCAGTTCTTGTTCTAATTTGGTTTTGCTCTCGTCTCCGCAGCTGACTGTATCTTTGCCCTCCACCCTGACTATCCTGTGGCCTGATGTGAATAGCAGCAGCTTGTTCTCTGTGGCTGGCTTGGGTTGTTACTTATCAGGACAGACTCTACTTGAATTTATCAGCCTACATCTGAAACCTCTCACATTCTGCCACAGTTTAAGTTGTATTCATTCTGTAAATTATATATATATATATATATATGCATATTTACTGTGTGCTGTTTAATATGAGAGTTAATATTAGTAATTGAGATTGGAATGAAACAATCTGCAGTTGCCTTGGCCAGATTACCAGAGTAGATGGGATTATCTAGCAAAGGGCTACCACTGAAACTGCTATACCTTGTGAATTTATTTATTTTACTCACTGAAATCTGACATAAAAAGACACAAGCATGCTTGCCTATGTTTCTGACATAGCTCTTTCACAACTGACAAGGATTACTGAATTGTTCTAATTTAGAAAATAGTAAATTATGGTAAAAGCTGGCTTTTCATTTCTTTAATTTGCTGACAACATGAGTTAACACGCTGGCAGAAAATGAGGCAGTCGATGTTGTGAGGCACTTCTGTTTGGCCTGAGCAGCTGTGTCATGTTAGAACGAAGAGCGTCATATGCAGGACTATGTCAAAGTCACTTGAGAGAAGCTACAAAACAAGGATTGAGGTAAATCATAGTAGAAACTACATTTAAGTTCCTGGTCCAGTTGTGTCAATGATCAGCCGTGTGTCTTCAGACTACCTCAGCTCTTTAAATTTCAGTAACTATGAAAAATTAAAAGAGCTATGTTCTTTTATTTAACAAGTGAGGTGCCAACTATTCTAGCATCATACTGAATTCTAAAACATCCTTTTGGATCTAAAGCGGACAGTTTTAGGTGTGCCAGACCACAAAAACTTATTTGAATACTTTGAAAACTGTCAAAATAGCTATATCTATCTGCATAAATAGTTATATGTGCTTAACCACAATTTTAGCAGTTACTACAGTAATAGGTATACAGCTGGTGCTGAGAGAATGTTTTGAATGAAATGTCATGGGGCAAGTACTAAGTCCAAAGGGTAAGTCAGATCAAATTTTAACTTCAGGTAGTAATGAGGTTTTCTTTTTTTGCCTCCCTTTCTTTATTTTTTCAAGACAGTTTTGAAATGTAGAGACCAGGTTGGCTGGGAACTTATTATGTAGACAGTGCTGGCTTTAAACTCCCGATCCTTCTGCCCCGGCCTCCCAGGTGCTGGGAATACTGGCATGCACCACCGTAACCAAGCCTACTGTTTATGAACTTCTCATTTATCTAAACTTGGATTGTGTCAGAGAATGAGGTGAGTGGTACACTGATCAGACCACTACATTAGGAAGGAATAGATTTAAGAGGATTGGCTCCACCACACTTGAAATTCTGAAGCCCCGGAAAAGCCATCCCTCTAGGGCCCTTCTTAACAGAAATGTTATTTTCCTCACTGCTCCCCCCAATAAATCATTTTTTATAGATAGAAATCAAAGCCACTTTGTTAGTGCAATAAAATGTAAATGTATCATCATCATTAAATCATTATAAAATAAGCCTGTGCAGTAAGCATTCTAATTATTACAATGCAGAAGTACTGGTGCTGAGCTCACACACAAAGAAAATGCAGTTCTGGTTAGGATGAAAGGGTTGGTGACTGCGACAGACCTCGGTGGAGTCAAATGTCCGACATGGTGAGACTTGAGATGGGACTCCAGAAAGAGAAGGGGTAAAGCCACTTCAGGCAGCAGGAGAGCTGAAGCAAAGACTGGGCACAGGGAGAACCACACATGCAGAGCGCCTCCTGGGAGCTAGAGTGATGATGTGGCTAATTTTCCACGCACATAGACCTGGCTGGGTGTTCACAGAAGATTCTTGAAAGTTACCAGACACCAGGTTACAATCCTTTGCTATGTGGTTAATTAGTAAATATACCGTAAGAAGTGGTCACTGTCACTTAGGCACTGCGCTTTACAGTTTACAACATGCTTTCCCACCCTTTCTCTCTTCCTTTCACGGTCCCTCAGAAGCAACCCTGGATAAGTCACAGACTGAAGCCCCAGTGGTGGCTCTCCTTATATAACGGAGGAAGTAGCGCAGAAAGAAGAGGCAGCAGGCTTTGAGGCCAGGGATGGAGGCTCAGGCCACACCTCAGACCAGGCGGGCCAAGAATCCCAAGCAGCGGCCGGGGCGGTGCTGGCCAGCCTGCCCGAGCCGCCCGTGCCAGACCGCTTCCTACTCACCCTTGCCTCCAGGACTGGCGTCCCGGGATGGCACCAGGAGGCACGACCCCCACGGGGCCGCGCCTCCCGCCAAGTCAGGCCACTGAGCCCGCAGGGACAGACCCCAGGACACCAGAGCCCGGGAGCTCTGAAAAAGCAGCCTGAGGCTCTCGGCCGCAGAGCCCTCTGGGAATTGTAGTTCCCATCCCCCCGAAGCGCAGAAGTACGCGGCCCCTTCCAATCCCGAAGAGCCCCGCGCGCAGATGGCTCGGCCGCCCTGGGCTCAGGGCCTACTGGGAAGGAGAGTTCCGGCTCTCAGATGACGTGGTTAATGAGAGCAGTATGGGACTACATTTCCCGAAGTGCTCAGAGGTGGGCAGGACCCGGAAGTGAGGGCGTGAGAGGCCTCTCTGGAAGTTGTCCCGGGTGTTCGCCGCTGGAGCTCCGGGTCGAGAGGACGAGGTGCCGCTGTCGCCGGCCCCCGGAGCGCAGCCCTTTCCTAGCCCGGTCCAGTCCCAGCCGCCACCTCCCGACCCCACCGCGGACCCCACCGTTACCATGAATCCCGCCGTCTTCCTGTCTCTACCCGACCTCAGATGCTCCTTGCTGCTCCTGGTGAGTGTATGTAGGGATGACAAACCCTCCGACTGTGTCCCTGACCGCCTCCCGCCTTCCGCCAGGGGGAACGGTGCTGCCCCTGCTTGCCTCCACTCTCCTCCGCTGGTGAGGCGTACACCGCCTGGAGCTGCCTTCACTTTCGCGGGTTCTTTTGGCTTCTTAGGCCTGCGGTCCACGAGGCCTGCGAAACCACAATCAGGGATTGGGGACCTACGAACAGGAGAATTCGCCTTAGGGGAGTGAGACGTGGGAGGTCACGGCTGAGGCCCCCTGGAGTATGTTTAAGTTTTGTGGACGATGAGGACCTGCTTGGGGTCTCTAAGGGACCAAGGGGACACCTAATGTCTTCTCCCACAGTGGGAAGGGTGTGAAGCCGACAGGTGCTGCTGGGGTCTTGTGAATCTCTGGATCCTCGAAACAGGCTGGCAAAGCCCTCTGTTGTGGCTTCATGCGATTGGTTGGAAACCCGGAACTGGAGACTGGTTTGGTGTCTACTGGGAGAATAGGAATTTGAAAAGGTGGAGGGTGTGATTATCTGACAGGCTCTTCTAGGGAGTCCTGCAAACCCTGTTGCAACCTATCTCTCTCACTGAAGCATATATCTTTGTCAGTGCTCTTGAGAATAACCAGCTCTCCTGCATACGTATGTGCTTAATACTTCCCAGCCTGATGGGCATCATCCCATCTTAGAAAAGAGTCTTTCTCCAGTTTCTCTTCCTCCGAAGTCTATCTTGAGTGTACGACTTAAGTGGCCTTGTCTTAAAGTCAAATTGAGACAAAATTGAAGGTCTAACTCCATATGGGAAAACGAGAGGAGTTTAATTGGGCTGTTACGACACAGTATTTGAAAGTACTTGAATTATGGTAGATTCTTAGAAAGCTAAATTTAAGATGAACATCATTGAATATAAATTACTTTCTTCACAGCTTAAGAATAATAATTAACTTGCAAGAAGCTGTATAGTTGGTTACAGGCAAAACTGAGTCTAGGAATAGATTTTTTAATTTATAGTGTGTATTCCACTGTATCACATAAAAAGATTAACGTTTGTGCTTTAAATACTTTTCATTCTCATTATGACTTGAAAGCCATTTTTTATATACAATACTTCATTCTTTTCAAAATAAAATCGTGCAAGCTAAATGAAGTGAAAATACTTCTGAAGACTAAAGTTGTGTATAAACAAGGCAATGCTAAATGATAGAATATCTTATTAGCACTTGTAAAATACTTTAGAGAAGAATATTCTCTCTCTCCCTGTGTGTGTGTGTGTGTGTGTGTGTGTGTGTGTGTGTGTGTGTGGTTTTATTATTCACTGTGGCACCTTCTAGAACTGTTACAATAATGCTATTAGAGGCCATATATTCTTTTTTTTTTTTTTTTTTTTTTTTTTTTTTTGGTTTTTCGAGACAGGGTTTCTCTGTGTAGCTTTGCGCCTTTCCTGGAACTCACTTGGTAGCCCAGGCTGGCCTCGAACTCACAGAGATCCGCCTGGCTCTGCCTCCCGAGTGCTGGGATTAAAGGCGTGCGCCACCACCACCCGGCTAGAGGCCATATATTCTTAAGGACACTAATTACTAATCTTTTCTTTATCATAAAAAGAGTTATATGTTAGAAATTATTTTTAGGTGACTGAAAAATCCAAAGATCAAAAATCTCAAGACATTGAAAAGTTGAAACATTGAGTAGAAAAATGATGTCAGTTGAGCTGTTTAAGAATGAGAACATTTATTTTGAAATAACTCATGATTTTTACTAGAGCATCTATCAATCATGTTAAATATCTAAATGATGATTTCTTCTCAAATAAAGCCTATATTTTTACTAAACTCTAGTTAAAAATATATTGTGTTAAAAATACATTCCTAAGCAAAAGCAGAAGAGAGGACTACAAACATAGAAGCCATTTTAGAGAATTCCTGTAAAGATTAATGGGCTGGAAAACAAAGCCTCTGAAAAGTTTTCATGAACCAGAAGTACAAGTCAAACTAGATTCAATTTGAACACAGTGTTTGCTTACTTAGTTCTAATCCTAGTTTAGCAGATATTCATGAAACATCTGTCTTAATCTCAACAGTGAGTAGCTTGTCTGAGTGCTAATTCAGTCATAGTGATGGAACCTGCTTACTCAGTATCCCACCTGTCTAATGAATAATCCTGGGTTCCCTTCAGGCATCAACATGATGACTCTCACAGACAGGCATAGAAAACTCCATTTCCCTCTTAGCTGAGGTCACCATTTTTCCCTTACATGGTTGGACACCCATATATTCTTTTACTACAGTAAGGAGCACTCTGGACCTCAGTCTTAAAGAGCTATTAATATTTACTTAAATTGTAGGGTTTGTAAAATACTAGCCAAAATTATAACACTGAATTTCAGGAGGGAAGTGGATATCTTTTCTCTGATCGCAAAAGTATTCTAGAATACATCATTCCATGTCTTAAAAGCATTTCTGCATGGGTAACTAACCACAGACACTTGGTGTGATAACTCTTCCATTATGTGTTAATTGACCCTTTTCTACTTTGTGTCTGAGATAGGTTGATTGAAATCAAAATAGGTTCTTTTCTGCTTAACTGTTTCTTAGCCACACTCTCTCTGCACTGGTTTGTATAAGTTTTTTATTTATTATGCATACAGAAGAGGGTGCCAGATCTCATTACAGATGGTTGTGAGCCACCATGTGGTTGCTGGGAATTGAACTCAGGACCTCTGGAAGAACAGTCAGTGCTCCTAACCTCTGAGCCATCTCTCCAGCCCCTTGTGTAAGTTTTTAAAACGTGAGATAAGAGAGAGATGGCTGAATTGGAATGAACTGTGTCAGATATCCTAAGTAAGTTCTTGTGCTTTAGGGATTTTAACCTTATTCCAGTTGTTCTATTGAAGATGTTGTCTCACTAATCTCTTGATCATTGTGTTCAAAGATTCTCGGTTCTTACTAGCTCTGATAGTCCTGTGCTTGTATAAGTTGATACATTTGCTGTTGCTGCACTTCGTTTTTTGTTTTCTGTAAGTATAGGAAGCCAAGAAAATATTACCTGGTTTAGGAAGCTGTGTAATTTGAGAGCTAAGTAAACACTTGTATATATCTACTGAATATATTTTAAAGATTTTTTTTAAGTGTCAGTTTTAGTCATTAATGCTAACAATGAAGAAAATGTTCAGTCTTCAAGAAAAAGTACTATTGGAAGCATGTAATGAGATTCATAGTAGGTGGGTTATTTATCCTTTTTATATAACTTGTCCCATATCCATGGCTTACACTATGTGGCTGCTCTTTACAATCACTTGGGACAGTTTTAATAAAATGCAGTTCAGAGTTATCCTGGGTTCCATTCCCAACCCCACAACAAACAAACAGTAACACAAAGTTGCATGGGCCATATACCAGTTATATCTGTCTCATAGGGCTCAGATATTAGTTTAATTTCCCCCCAAACATTATTATCACATCCATTAAATTTATTCAGATATTACTTGGTGTTTAAATATTCTTTGTGTCTGTTTTTGAAAACTGATTGATCAAATCGGAACCATACAAGTTCTGTGCATGCTGGTTGTTTGTGTCTCCTGTGACTTTTGAGTGCCTGGAATTGAACCCAGGACCTTGGGCACTGTAAGCACACACTGTATTACTGAGCAGCTGCCAGCCCAAGATGTTTAAAGTCTGTAGCTTCCTTTTCCATCTCATTCATTTTTTTTTCTTTATCTTGATAATTTCTTCAGGAACTGTGCTGTAGAACATCTCACACTCTTGTTATCACCGATTGTAGCTTCTTGATGTGGTTTTTATGTTTCTCTGTTCATTGAATTTACTAGTAGAAATCTGTAACTCAATTTTTGTGGTTTTTTTTCAACCACCAGCTCAATATGCATTGCTTACTTTGCTTATTTATCTTTCAAGTTAAGTTTTTGAAAATTTATTATTTACTTCATAATAATGAAATTTATGATCTTCAAAGCCAACCATATTGTGTTAAGATAATTCTGATTTCTTTGTCTCTTCTACTCTTATCAACCTCCTAATGTAAGGTGACTTACTATTCTTTTTTTTAACTCTTGTATTTATTTCTTTTTTAAAATTAATGTAAGTTATTTGCTTTTTTGTCTATATATGTTTTTCTAGTTTGATTTTATATATATATTATTCATATTTTTTTCATCTTCAAATTATAAAAATACCTTTTTCAGTCTAAAGTTTTATATTAAAGGTGTTGAGATAGAACTGTTCCACATTTGTGTGTGCGTGGGGGGCAGGGAGAGTACATGTGTGTCTGCATTCAGAAGGCCAGGAGATGTTGTCCTTCTGTGATGTCTACCTTGGTTTCTGAGCAGGGTCTCTCATTTGTTGGAACTAACTGGTTAACTTAGGCTGACTGGCCATGGAGCCCTAGTCTCCACCTTCCCAGTGTTGGAATTACAAGGTTGTATTACCATGCCTGACTTTTCAACTTTAGTTTATATATGTGTATAGTGTGTTCCAGTCATTTCCACCCATATTATCCACTCTTATCTCCTGTCCCTTTTCTGCTGACACCCATTTTTCCCAAGAAGTTCCCTTTCAACTATCATGCCTTTAAAAAGTATGTGTGTGTGTGTGTGTGTGTGTGACCTGTTTGTGATGTATGACTCACTGAGTTTACTTAGAGTTGCTTACATGAGCATGGGTTACTTTTCCGTGGGTAGGTATACCACTGATGTACATGACACCCCCTTCCCCAGTGATCATTAACTCTCAATGGTCCCTCATGGAGCAGTGAGGTCTCATGTGCCTCTCCCATCATAAGGAAATGCTGAGAGACTGTCTTGTGTAGGCCACCACAACTGCAGTGAGGTGAGTGCATGAGTGCAACAGCCTTGGAGTGTCCACAAGACATCTTTTTGTGGCATGCCACCTTACTCTTCAACTCCTACAATCTTCTCAATCTTTCTTCCACAGTGTTCCCTGAGCGTTGGAGGTGACAATATAGATGTCATATTTAGACATTTAGG